GCAGCCCTCAAAGTACACTACGGTTCTGCTTGGCATGAGACTGTCCCGCTTGTCCTGTTGGGCAAGCGGAACACGATAAAGGCCTACTTGCGCACCACAACGGCAGCTCTAGCTTTCGGTTGCACCCAGCGTCTTCCCGGGGAACTTATCGCGCCAACACCCCTACGCAACTTCAACTACGCAAATGTCGCTCAACGCCTTAGCCACCACATGCGTGAGGTTCACGCCGCAACCACGGGACAGCAGACCATCTCCGTTTATGTACCCAAGGAACTATCATTCTGCACGCATGTTTTTCTTCGCGTGGATAGCACGCGAGCGCCATTACAAGCTCCGCACACCGGACCGCATAAGGTGATAACCCGTAAGGGTAAGTGCGTCATTATCTAGGTTATTGGTCAACGGGAAACGGTTAGCTTAGATCGCCTCAAGCCGGCGTTCATCGACAACGGCATTGAGCGTGGTTCCCCCACTCCATCCAGTGATCCAGTGCCTTGTCCCCCCTCTCCTCCTACGGGTCCATCCCCACAGACCCCAAGCGATACCCCTATGCCACCATCTATACTGGTCAAACGCGACCGTCGTGGTCGCGAAGTTCGTCGACCAGTTCGTTTCGATTGCCAACTACCTTTTTTCTTTGCGTCTAGTATCCACGTTTTGTTTCACACATTTTTATTACTTTTTTCTTAACGTTATCAAGAAAACGACAACAAAAATCGCGAAATCTCCAAAACCCTAAAAACGACAAAATTCGAAACTCAAAAAAAAGTTTTTTATCGTTTTTGTGGTTCCGTCATGCTCTCTTCTTCACCCCACCCCCCACTTCTACCAACAGCCCTTGCGCTGTTAGGTTAGTCGCCTCCTCTTGTCTTCCAGGACACCGTCTACAAATGGGATCGTCAGAAGATCGCACCTCCTGGAACCAACGTCCTTACCGGATCGGGGAACGCGGGCGCGAGGAGTGGAGTGTGTGTGGGAAAGAGGCCACTTCTATTCCACCGTCGGACGCCTTTCGAGTTTTGGCCGGTCGGGTCTTTTTTCTGGTTTGCACCGGCCAGTTATTTTATTGACCAGGCAACCCGCGTAGACGGCCCCACACACCCGGCAGTGAAAATAATGTTACTACAGACCTTCAAAATCAAAGGAAACCAGTGACGCTCGTACCAACCTCCTTCGAAATTTCATCATCATTCCAAGAAGCCAACCGTAGTCATATATTAACTAAGGTCACGAACCATACCTCCTTTTTTATTACACACCTGAGTGTGATGAACAGCAGACGAGGATCTGCTGTTCAGTGGTTGAAACCGGCAACCTGAGCACCGGGACTTGGAGTGGTGAGCCACATAAGACCCCCATAGGTTAGACTAATATTGAACCGGACGACAAAAGAGCTGCCTACCACCAAAATCGGGTGGCGGTGGTGGGGTTTGAACCTCGGACCATAGGGTTCAAAACACCGGTGAGTGACTAAACCACTGCGCCACTCCTGGAAGTGAATCATAGCGCACTACGCTATCTTTTGCTTGAACTCACATTATCCGAGGATGTCATACGTGAGACAATGAAGATTAGTGTTAGAACCAGACCGTTAATTCTGTTGTTGTTGTTGTTGGAGGAGGAGGAGGAGGAGGAGGAATGAAAGATGGAACACATCGCAGGTTTTGAGAGTAAGTAAAAAGTATGACAACTACTGATAATCACTGTCTATGTATGGGATTCATGCAACACTGATCAGCCTACAACTAATAAGGTTTTACTCACTTTTTCTGCAGCGGATTCGCGAGCTTGGATTTCTTCCAAAATAGCTTCCCAAGGAGTTTTCTTTGGCTCGGCATCCGAGGACTTCGTTGCCGCATCAGCCGGTTCCAAGCTTTTGATAAAAGCAATGAACTGAGGATCATCATTTAATGTCCCTCGTTTCTTATCTACTTTATCCGCTTTTTTGGATGCTGAGGTTTCTTTACTGCTGGCCAGTGTTTGACATACGGCAAATTCAGCCAGAGCGTATGATTCATTGCCCTGAGAAAGCGTCTATCAAACAGAAAACAGTTCTTACTTCCGAGTCCACAAAAACGTAGTTATCAAAGCGTTCCTTGAAATCAAATAGTGATTCGATGTCGTTGAACGTTATGTACGCTCTCGGTAGAGACAAACCTTCCAAAGAGTCATCCGGCAGGCAAAATCGAAAGTAGCTGTGGGGAGGTAGGGGGTCAATGATTTTTAAAAATTCTTCTTCCGTCAGCTTCGGTGGTAGTCGTCGAAGAACGATTTTAGTAGGGCAATTTTTCATTGTCAAGGCTGGAAAAGAAAATGAGTTTGTGAAATAAAGCGCGCCCACATCACGCTGTAATACAATTAAATCTCAGACCACGAACAGATTTTTAGTTTTCAGTCTGGTAGTCACTCCCTATGAAACGTTACGAATGCGCACAATAAACCTGAATGTGAACTAGCAAAATAATTGAACTAATTGAGGGAGAGAAAAAATACGGACACTAAATAAATCATCAGAGTAAGTATAGTATGACAGTATAGTAAGGATTGTGACGTGAACATGAATTTCAGTTTCAGATCTTGAATCCCTAAATCAAATGAGAGTGAGTGTTACTTTTGCTCCATAAGCAAATATTTATTTGACCTTCACGTTTGCTGCTAACGCGCACTACCACATTATGGCCTAGTTATTGCTGAGCCCAGATGGCATATTACGGTGGGCGGTGTGATAACCAGAGACAATCAATTTCAATTAATGGGTTATAACAAAGAACTTTTAGCAAGACTACTTCAACTAACGCATCCAGACCGACAAGAAGACATGTCGCGAGATGATAACACTTCGTTTAATCTTCTCAATCGGGGACGTAAAACAAACACTGGGTTGTTAAACCCTAGTGAACGGACGTGTAAAGACAGACCGGGTGTTTTAAAATTAAAAAAACAAAGTTAACTTTACGGTATCAAGCTTTCTTGCAAGACTGTGATATATATATGTATTTCAAAATACCTTTCAAGGGCGATCACCTTATGAGCGATGAAGGCCAAAAATGAGTCAGTTCTGAACCGCACTTAACCAGCTGCTCCACTTCGACTTATTGCATCCACTCAAGGGATGGATTTGGACGATTGGCTGTATGGTCGAAAATCTAGTTCTGTCTCGCAATGCATAAAAATTCAAATGCACTTGCGGTAACACACATCGACAAGTATCCCAATGAATGGTTGAATACTTCCCGAAGTGATTGATGAAGTCGATGACGCAACCCACAATTAACAATCAGAGGGCCACACGGAGCCCGCAGTTACCTGTCACAAAACAATACACTTGATCCTACTTCCTCTTTGAACCCTTTAATACTAAACCAGTATACAAATCTCTTAAAAACTAATGAGGCTTTGTTAATAAGATTACATCATCTCGCTTTGTGATCCCAAAGTTATCGACGCAATCCAAGAACTTGTCGTGAAGTTGACGTCTTGCTTTTAATTGTAATAGTCCCTATCTATCCGTACACGACCGTTTACTCAGATTTACCAACCCAACGCGCCATCAGTTCACTTCAGTTTGTACAACCATTAACCATGCAGTTTCATGCGCCAGTTTTGGTTGCTGTCTTGTGGCTGCCCATTTGGATGAAAGGCAGGAAAAATACAGAAAAGTTCAAAATAGAGTCGAATAAAAAAGGATAATTTCAGTTGACCAGTGTTGGAAAGAAATTAAGAAGATGCATGAACGCCACTGTTTACAACGCCTAGCCATATCATTCAGTATCTCTAACCATCATACCGAGGTTCCCAGTCAGGGAGCCCAACAGGACCTATATGACTGAGTCTCATGGTTAGGGTTTCCATACCCCAATGCCAGGTCCTATTTTGACCACCCTTGACCTTTTCCACCTACTACCAGTTTGGGAAACAGCGCGCA